GCCACGCGGGGCTGGAGACCTCCCACTCCCCACCCTGTAGGCTGATGCTCCCCTGTGGAACTACAACTCCCATCGTGCCCCGCGCTGCCCCGCCCCTCCCAGCCGGGGGGCTGTTTAACCCTCCGGCTGCGGGCGAACAGTGCGAGCGGGAGCTCAGGTACGCGGCGGGGTCTGCCGGCCGGTTCTGTGCTGGGACAAGCTTTGGGGGGCCCGGAGCGGGGGGGACAGGTTGAGGGGACGGGGGGGGGGAAGCTGGCCGGCCCTGTGCTGGGGTTGTGGGCGGGGACTGCCGAGCCAGCCTGCTGCGGTGTCTGGTTGTGTAACTGCTCCGGCCCCGCTGCAAACCCGGGCGGGAGCGTTATAAGGGGAAACTGGCTGGGGGGGAGCTGGCCCTGTACTCGGGGGAAGCTGGCCCTGTGCCGGGGCTCTGGCTGGAGGGGGGATCCGGCCCTGTTCTCGGGGGGGGGGGCGGCAGGTTGGTGTGTGTGGTGGGGGGGGAACTGGCCCTCTGCCGGGGGAGGCTGGGGGGCGGGGAATACTGGCTGGAGGGAGAGCTGTGCTGGGGGTGGGGTGGGGTGGGGGAACACTGGCTGGAGGGGAAGCTGGTCCTGTGCAGGGGCTCCTGAGGGGAGCTTCCTGGCTCACTGGGACCCAGGGCCCATCTCCGTTCCTGGTCCCGGCCAGCTTGGTGGTGCCCATCTCCTGGCTGTGCACTGACACCTCATGGAAGGGGTTGGTGGCTCAGCCCATGGCCAAGTGGTCCCTAATTCCCAGGGCCGGCTCCAGGCACCAGCTTACCAAGCAGGTGCTTGGGGCGGCCACTTCGGAGAGGGGCGGCACGTCCAGCTGTTTGGCGGCAATTCAGCGGACGGTCCCTCACTCCTGCTCGGAGCGAAGGACCTCCCGCTTGAATTGCCGCCACAGATCACGATCGCGGCTTTTTTTTGTTTTGTTTTGCTTTGCTGCTTGGGGCGGCCAAAACCCTGGAGCCGGCCCTGCTAATAACCATCCTCAATGGTATCCTTGTCCACTGGCTCAGCCTTGCGATTGTCCCCTGCACACCTGCCGTTGGGTCCATGTTCACAGGCCAGGAGGGCCTGGCAAAACCAGGGACTGAGAGAGCTGCCCACCCTGATTGGTAAGATGCACGTGCTACAGTAGTTGCTCTGCCTTATGCCTGGGTCTTCCCTTCATTTGGGCAGGTGTCTAAGATGCCAGAGGGCCCAGAGCTGCACCTGGCCAGCTGCTACATCAACACAGTATGTGCAGGGCTCATCTTCTCGGGGAAGGTGGAGAAGTCTGAAGTGAGCAAGAACCCAGAGGTGCTGTTTGAGAGCGACGCGTACCTGATCTCTGCCACCTCACGGGGCAAGGAGATCAAGCTGACCCTGACGCCACTCAAAGAGGAGAAGAACTTGCTCCCTGGCAGAGGGAGGGACAGGGAGGGGCTGAGCCAGAATGGTCTCCAGCAGCCCATGGATCTTGTCTTCCGCTTTGGGATGTCAGGCAGCTTCAAGCTCGCTTCCGGGGCCGAGCTGCCCAAACACGCCCATCTTCGGTTTTACACCAAGGAGAGCCCGCACCGAGCCCTCTGCTTCGTGGATATCAGGCGCTTTGGGAGGTGGGAAGTGCACGGGACGTGGCAGCTGGATCGAGGGCCATGTGTGATGCTGGAGTATGAGAAATTCAGGTGAGATCCACCATGACCTTCCATCTCTGCTTGAGAAACTGACCAGGAGTATGTGTCGAGCGGGGTGGGAGGGAATGAATGATAGACACAATATTCTTACAGTGAATTCCGTGGGGAGCCTGGTGATAGAATATGGGGCCTTTCACCATTACAGGGACACTTGTAGCTCACGTTTATGGAAACTCTGTCTTGGGTTGAAGACTGTCCGGTGCTTTGCATTCCCAGAGATCTCGCTATGAACAAGGGAACAGGCTTGGTTTAAACATCCTCCTGTGTGGCTTTTTCTTATATAACAAGTGAACGGCACAAAAATAATTCTTAAGTATTGCAAAAGCGAAGAGTACAGCTGAGCGATTTAACCCTCACAGCAATGGCTCTCCAGTGGCTATCCACTCAGTTCAGCATGTTGAGAACCAAGTGGGGGGAGGCTGAATGGTTGGGAATGAGGTAGGTCCATGAGGAGATGTCTGTTATGCAAAGTGGGAGGCTGGAAAAAGCTGGAGATCCCCTGGGCTAGGACCTGTTAACTGACTATGACAGAGACCCAGAGGACTTTGGTCGAGCTCTTGTATTATTTTGTACAAGTTAATGTTTCACTCTTAATATGTGTCTGTTACAGTCGTGAAACAGTGCAAGAGAGCAAGAGCCCTGCTGTAGCTACTTTAACACCTGCAAAATCCCATGGCAGGCAAGGAGGGGCTTGTAGCTTGGTGAACAAAGGGCCAGGTCCCCTAAGATATTGAGGGTCCTAACTTCTGTTGGAAGAGCCTAAATACCTTAGAGGTTGTGGACCAAAGTGCCCACTTTGTATTTCATAGGTAGAATTCATAGCTGAAGGGCGTATCACTGACTGACAGAGGTTGGAGATTGAAAGGGGTCATTGGGTTGTCTGATGCACACACGCATGCCTGCCTGTCCAGGTACCATGTGGTATGTTCATTAGTGGATTTTCAGGGTTAGTTTTGAATTTGCTGAACATCGGGATTTCCACCGCTTCCCTTCCAATCTTTTCCCCCCTCAGATTCTCAAATTTTCCTTTCCCTAATTGTATCCCATTCAGTCATCAGAGGCTTGGTGAGTTTGTTAGTTAGTTCCCTGAGCACCTTGTCAAAGGCAGATTGCATAAAAGGATTCCAGAGTCTCAGGCATTGAGTCTTTGTTCATTTCATCCCCCTCCTCTTTGATGAATGAGCTACTCCCTCTTCAGTGCATTTCTGCATGGACACTTATATTTATTTCCCTTTGGCAGCATTCCTTGAACCCTTGTCTCTCCACTGCAAGCCTCACCTGACTCTACATGTTGGTGTTCCCTTATCTCTTTGCTCTTCTATGTCAAGATCTTAGAGCAGGCCTTCATAAAGCCACTCTTCAAAGGCTCCTTCTTGTTCTTTGTATTTGTCAGTTTCGGAGGACTCTTAGACTGCCTTCAATTCCTTAATGGCGATGTCTCTTGCTGTTCCTCCAGCCTTCTTTATGCTGTGGTGAGTCTTTAATGCTTCCTCTTATCACACTCAATTTCTTAATTTGCTTCCCTGCAATCAAATACCTTGATAACTGCTGCATTCCAGGAACCCGTTCCCTACGGGGCTGAATTCAAGTAGCGTACAGCACTGGAACTGCAAGTCCGTGCGCTGCTCCTTCTAAGGAAACAGCGGGTCATCCCTGTACCTTTACCCAAAGGGTTTCGCTGCTACCTTTATCGTTACCTGTTTTATTGTAATGCCTCTTGATGTCTAATGCTGCCCCCTCCTCTCTCCTGCACAGACTGTCTGCATCTATATTTACAGTCTTGCTATAAGAACCATCCCCCAAGGTTTCACTTGTGCCCGCTAGACCATAACCTCCATCATTTTTAGTTTCACTTCTCCTGCTTGTGTCTGGAGGCAGACCCTTCTGCAGCAGAAAACCCCACTGGAGAACAACCCCACCTCCCATGTTGGTTACTGTGTTGGAAGCACATCACAGGCTGAGTGAGGTGGTCGTTTCCCCAGCCCCTCCTCCCTAGCTGACCGGCCCTGCTGTCTTCCAGGGAGAACGTGCTGAGGAACCTGTCTGACAAGGCTTTCAACAAGCCCATCTGCGAAGCCCTGTTAAATCAGAAGTTTTTCAATGGGATTGGCAACTACCTCCGAGCCGAGATTCTCTACAGGTGAGCAGGGCGAAGAGCGGAGAGGAGGAGGCCTGGCCCGATGGAGATGTGGGTCCAATATCCTATTCCACCCCAGGCTCAAGCCAGGCCTTGTTTACGCAGGGACGCTGAGGAAAGTTCAGATGAAATAACTAAAGCTGTGAAGTTAATGTGCAGGACTTCGAGTGCATTAACCCCCTGAGGAGGATTCAGCTACAGCAAACTAAGGCCACTTTACTTCTGAATGAGCCTCTCCAAATGGGGGTTTATGATGCACGTTCACTGATGTGCCTTAATTTCACAGCTTCAGTTAACTGGTCTGAACTCCCTATGGAGACAAGCCCATAGCCTCTCTGTGTCTCAGCTTCCCTATCCGTACAATGGAGATATTAGCACTGCCTTAGGGGTTGGGAGGATAATTACATTAGGAAGCATGTCATGTATGCATAGGGTCCCTTTTACATAGTAGACAGCCAGACCTTTTGATTCCCATCCCTGTAGTTACGAGACCAGCACCATGTAAGGGTCCAAACTGTTGAGAGGCCACCCATTTCCCTTGCTGAAATGCAGCCGGCCCATATCCGTTCCAGCGCTAAGCACCTACAGACAGCACTGCCAGTGCACCTCAGCTTTGAGCACTTCGCAGTTCCTGCACTACACTCGCTACCGACACAGCCCTGACCTTTATTTTTTTTCCTGAGTGCCCTGTATATGCTGGGCATCTCCGATTTGGCCTGCGATGACACTTTCAGTCTGGGACCTTGCCTGGGGAGCTGAATTACACCCTGCTCACGTGCCATAGTCTGAATGCACCAATGTTTTACTGTGTAGATTACATCCAGCTCTTCAGAGGTGAAAAGCCAATGCTTCCACCCACTGCGTCAGCAATCTCCCTCCCCTCCCTTAGGCCGGGACTCCATTTGCATTGGCTGGCATTTGTGTTGGGATCCTCACATAACAGATGGACTCTCCTAGGTTAAAGATCCCTCCCTTTGAGAAGGCTCGGACGGTGCTAGAGGCTCTTCAGCATCGGAAGCAGGTGAGGAGGGTGGAGAAGGCTCACGCGCATGCACAGAAATGTTCCAGCTCATCACATAGAACTCGGGGTTCAGTGCTCGCCCTGTAGCACCTGAGGATCTGCAGCCCCAGTTACGAGTTGTAGCTTTAACCTTAGAACTTCCACCGCTTCTGGTTCTGGTCCTGTTGCTCTTTCTTCTTGTTAGAAGTGGTTGCTGTCTTGGAGGTGGATCCTCACCATGAATCAGGAGGCCAGACACTCTGACTTCAGGGCCTGTTCTGTGTCTCAGAAAATCCCTTCTTACGGGGGATTCTCAGTTTAATTCTTCAGCCTTTACCTCCCCATGACGTGCGGCCACGCTGCCATGGCCTGGAGTCTGTCAGATCGCCCCGCTCAGCCATATCATTATGTGCATGGCTTGGATAGGTGACCTGTGCAGACAAGAGTGCTGCCCATTTAGTAGCTGGCTCTGAGTCAGGCCTGGAGCAGGCAATGCCCCAGCATGGGGTTTGGAGGGGTGGTTTTCTGGAGAGCTGTGAGACAGGGCCGGTTCCCATGTGATTGTTAAAGCTCCTCTGGCACCTTGTCCAAGCACCAGAACTCGCCAAATCCCAGCTCTGCTGACTGCATTCTGGCTCCTCAATTAGCCATGCAGCTTGAGCAGGAGACGGAATTCTTCCCTCCCCGTGCTCAGACTTGCTGTGGGCTCTTTAACAGTTCAGTGATTGCATTTGGCTCCTCCATGAAGGAATCACTCGCTTCCTCGTGTGTTATACAGCACGTGTATGGTAAGTTTATAAAGCACGGTGGGGTCCTTTGGGAGGACAAATGCTACGTAAATGTCTGCTTATCCTCCAGTGCCTTTAACTCCTAGGAGTTGCTCTGCAAAAGTGCTGCATGTAAAACTTGTTTGCAAATCTTGAGCCGGATGGACCATGACTGCCTATCATGGCATATACGTCTATGGCTCCTGCGTTGTGTATACATTCTCCTTTGCTGAGGGGGACTGCACTCTGCCTTGTACAGTAGCCACTTGCATATTTTGGTCACTTGGCCATTCCCTCCCCCTACCAATCTCAAATATACTCAAAGGTATTTAGGCACCGAACTTCCACTGATTTCAAGGGAAGTTAGGAGTTTAAATACCTTTTGGGGATCTGGGCCAAAGATCCTAGTTCGCTGTGAAAATAACCCACAACTAAGAGGACCACAGTAGTTTAGGCTCCAAATCTGACTATTCTGGTCTAGTGCTGTGTGGCTTCTGGAGGGGAAGTAGCTATTTAAAGAAAAACCCAAATACCGTTTTTGTCTGACCGGCCTTTCTCCCTCCCCTCCTCTCCCCTCCCCCGGCCTGTCTCTGTAGCAGCAGTTAAGTTACAAACACCTGCGGCGCAGTCAGTGATGCGTCCCAGCCGTAAGAGATTTTTAGCCTTCAGATG